GCAAGGATAGATCGCACGTGTATTGCAAGGGATTCTTCAGGGGTTGCTGTCACGAAGCGCCAAGGGGGCAGGGGGCAAAGGGCCTTTTCGGATCTTCTCCGAGGGACTAGAGGTACCTCTTTGGCGATCGACCGGTTCTACAGGGTTTCCGCAGAACAACAATGTCTGCCACGAGTTTTTCCATTTTTTCACCGGCTCACCGGCAACCCCCTTACCCCTCGGATGACTTCTCACGTTCCTTCGCTGACGCTCCCGGTCCGACCACTCGGAATTACACGATTTTTACAGACACGCTTCTCCTCTGCCGGAACGAGGCTGCGCGCGCGATCGCGTTTCCTCCGGGTCGGAGTGGCAACGGAGATAAGGTATCCGAGGCGCGAGGGGTTGTTCCTTGATTCACCCTGTACGGTCGTCGGCTTGCTTGCGGGTTTCGCGATCGAATCTTGCTTCGATGTTCGAATGTTTTCTGTTGTACGTTGGTGTAATTATTGACGTGAAAAAGTATGAGTTTGGGAACGTTAAGTGGAAATTTTGCTTTGTTTTTAGCAGGAACTTGAATTTATTGGAAGGGATATAAGTTGATTTGTTATTTTTTCGATGAAGGTTTGCTTTGTTGGTATGGATGAAAGGGTTTCAAGCAGAGATTGAGCTTTGTTTTCGAAAATTGTCTAGTTTAAAAGGTAAAAATGTTAGGTAAGTGAATAATTCGAAGAATTTCGAGGCAATTTTCGATCGTTCCGCCACCGTTCGAAAACAGTTGCATCCGTCAGCGATCGTGATTCACGTCTTCGTACGATTACACATCCGTCGGGTTACAATTTTTACACATAAAGCACACAGATTCGCAGGTCGTACATTGTCACACGATTGTACATACTTTCTATGCATATCTATAAACGCGTACATCCGTTCGACGGTACGAAAATAAGGGGCGAACATTCTTCGATCAGCGAATATATGAAGCTTCGCTCGACTGTGTTCGATTTATCGTACAAAACAGAGAAAGAAGAAATGATGATCGAGAATCTGGTAAAATCAACGTGTAACATGACTAACTCGGTAACGTAACTTTTTTACGCGTGTATACAATAAATAATGAATCTTCAGACCGTTCTTTTTTTCTCAACTCTTTTAACGGAAATTCGTTATTTCTCGTCGAGTCTATCCTAGAAACAAAGGAAGTATGTACAAGTATCGTATATTCATTAGATATATACTTTTCCTTTTAATTTTATACAAGCTCGTCTAGTTTCGCGAGAAACGTAACATCATTTCTTTCCGTTTTTGGCACTTGGTTGGAACAACATAATTAATCTTTTCTTTTTTTTCTTTTCTTGTAACACTCACGCCTCGAGGCCGTCACCCGCGTGACAACGATGTAACAATAACTAACGTGATCTCCATCGAAACGAAACGGAACGATGATTGCATCGTCACCGCAATATTGTTCAGGAAGTACGACTGTTCGATCGTAGTCCGTCACCATTCACCCTTCTCATCTCTCGGTTCAGCTTCGCCGCCATTTTGTTCGCGCGAATTACCCAAGAAATTTACGAGACGCGGCTGATGGACCGCTCGCGACGAGAAAAAGAGGAACGGACGAATGAGAAATAGAGAGAGAGTGCGTGCGGGGGAAACAGGAACGGAAATGATCGTCCCGATTCGAAGCGACCGGAAGTCGACATTAGTCTCTCGAAACGGATGCTCGAAATTCGTTCGATAAGCCGCGTTATTACCCCTTATAATTTTATCATTTCGACTAATTATTTACAATTTCTCTACACGAACACATTCAGGTACCATTTATTTACAAAATCAATCATTTAATCAACAATTTTATCAATCCTATCAAGAACCTAACCTTTGTATACGCTGTTCCGATAATTGTCACACGAGTATTTTGCAGATTAGATTGGAATGAAACGTGTCGTCCACTTAAAAGAAACATAATTTATCGAAGTGGATTATTAAATTCATTGACGCATTCCCGTAACCAAACATACGACCTAACAAATATTCATAAACGACGGGCAAAGGTAAACCGTGTCCTTTATTCTATCCAGCATTCTCGCGAGCAAGATGAATGCGCTAAATTTACGATCTATACTTCATATTATTTTTATATGTCAGCAAAATTGATTTTCGATCGCCGCTCCTCCTCGCAGCCTGTAATTTCTACCGCTAAGGTTTCTTTGGATATCATCGATTACACCGAGGAGAGCGGAAACCGAGGCGCGCCCGACCGACAATCGAAAACACGATCGCGTTGCCGAAAATAAAGGGGTTAAGACGCGTTCGACCGTCTTCGAGTTGCATTCGACAGGTGTTCAGGATCACGGCGCGATCGCTCTCGGTGAATGGAAATTACCGGTTTCTCCGATTCCCTCTCTCTATTTCTCTCTCTTTCTCCCTCCCCCTCTCTCTCTCCCTCTGTCGTTCTTCCTTTCTCGTTCTTTTCATTTTTCAATCCGACACGCACGCTCTTTTCCCCGTGCCGTCGGATCACGTTCACGGACTCGCCTCCCGAGGCGGGGAATTTTCTACGTAAACACAGAAATAAATAACAGAAATGTACAAGATTAGAAAACACTGAACAGTGTGAACATGTATCAACACGAAAGGTTTTTAACCCCATTGCCTCTTACAACGACGGTGCCAATAGTGAACCCGGTAAATATGAATTTTAGTCTTTTTTTTATTATTCTTTTACCATTAGCGTTTAAGTGTTAACATTTAGGGTAAACGTACATTTATAAATTTAATAAGATCTAGTCGGGTCTGCGGAGTTTCTTTGCCATTCGGGAGATTGTTTCGTACGATATTCTAGGGGCGAGGAGGATGGACAAGGCAAGGGGTTAATCGTCGCGATCAGATTCCTCGATCCGCGAGGACTGTTTAACAGTCGACTGGGACTTCGGTCGTCTCGAGAATCGAGCACAGTTCGAATCCTGCGGAGCGAGAAAAAAAGCTGCTCCGGGCAGCGACTTTCTCCCGACACGAGTGCGACGATTCACCGTGGCCAGCAGAGAAGCTGCTTCGAGTCTGAACCGATAATACAGAGCCGATGCAAAAAAGGAATAGACAGTTCCGATATATTTTATAGAAAAACAAGAAGAACCGTCGGAGATATTCAGACGCGGCTTGAACTGGTTTGCGGAGATACGCTTAAAGTTTTGTTACACCCGTTTATAGACGTTCGATCTGGCATGTATCAAACACGGTTGTCCGATCCTTTCTTTTTTCCAGCTCGCGTTGATAAACTGCGGAAACTCGCTCCACTTGTCCATCGGATTTTACTATTCCAGAAATTCATCCACTTTCAAGTGTTTTATGTTAAACGTGGGTCACATACATTCTACTTAGCCCGAGAACACAAACTACTTTATATTTTCGATCGCGCGGCTAACAAAACACCGACGGTATCTCCGCGAACCAGTCCAATCTGCGTCTCAATTTCCTCGGTAATTCTCTTCCTACAAAACATCGAAGCTGTTCATCTGCTTCTCAAAAGACTGCCGATTTTTATGCAAGGTTCTACAGGAATTTTTACTTCGAACGCTAATAAAACATTCTTTCTCCTGTAGAATCCGCAGTCTAACGAAAGCATCGACTCAAGGAGCCCAGCACTAGCACACGGTCCCCAACAAATCGAAATCCGAGTTCATGAAGTGTCCACGAAGCTGGAAGGGGGATTCACCAGGACAAGAACCGTGCACTAACACGAGCACTACTTGAAATAATGTTTTTTCCTCGCGGATGACCTGACGCAGGGCGCCTCGCAGCTCTTCGAGCTCCCGGAGTCCTTCCACGTGCTCCTAGTCGGCGTCACTGGATCGCTGAACCTCGTTTTGGCAAGAGAAGCAGCCTTATGGGTCGAATCGTTCTCGACGTCGCCCTCGAAGAACCTGCACATCTCCCTGACAGGCACTGCCCTGGCTCCCCTGTTGAGATCGTGTAGAGATCTAGCCCTCTGTTTGCCTCTGGGACTCGGTTTAGCCGCCGATCTCCCCAAATCCTCGGTGCTCCTAGCCAGTCTGCCGCCTAATCTGGACAATGACTCGAACAGCGTCAGTTTCTCCCTGACCGGGACATAATGATCGACCCTCTGACACCGTTCCAGCAGCCTAGCAACGTCCTCCTCGCAGGGGGGTTCGGTCAACACGGTCAGCGAGGTCGAGGACCTCTGCTGAACCGTCGAGCTGCTGATTTCTGGGAGTTTACTCGAGATCTGCGACGTCTGACGCGGCACCGGGATCCTGGAGGACAGTTGTGCCAGGCGTTCCTTGCGTTCCTGAAGAGTCTCCACGGCGGTGCTACTGGATTGCTGGGTCTGCAGCAGCTGCCCCTTCTCCCGGATGCCTCTTCTCTCTCTGGCTCTGCTCCTCCTCTCGCTGATGTCCGTTCTGAGAATTCCCGGACTCACGTTCCCGCTTTTAGGGCTGTTGTTGTTCCTCTTGTCGTCCTCTTTCCGCTGGTCATCCTCGAATCTCACTGTGGATTCGGTAGGCTTCACTGGTGGCAGCCTATTGCCAATGTTCTTCTCGTTCTTTAATCTCGAAGTGTCTGTGTCGTCCTTTCTTATGGATGTCAGACGGAGATCATCGTTGTCGTTCGTCGAATAGATCCTGCTCCTAGACCTGCTCGAGCCGTAGGTCTTCAAGATGTCGTTGTTGTTCTCCTCAGCTCTCGCTTTCCGTCTCCTAGCATCTTCTTCTACGACTCTTCTGCTTCTAGCCTCGTTCTCCCGTCTTCTAGCTTCTTTGTACCGCTGGATCCTCTGCTCCCTAGTCTCTGGCTCTGGCAGAGACACTGCTGAGTCCACGGAGTCCACGCTCGATCGACACACTCCGCTCCAAGGGAGGCTGTCGTCGCTACCCTCGCTGCTCTCGCTGCAACCCCAGGTCCTGGTCACTGGTTGCTCTTTCGTTATTATCGCCGGTATGCTGCGAAACTCGCCTAGAAGGTCCTCGTCGCTGGAATTGCTACTAGACCAGCCCCGCAGCTCGCTCCTCGCTCTTCTTCTAGAGTCCTCCAGGATTGTTCCCGGATTTGTAACGTCTTTTTCCGTTGGGGAGTCGCTTGGCCAACAGCGCAACTCGCTTCGAGAACGTCTTCGAGATTCGGTGGGACTGTCTGGCAGAGGAACTGGCCCTCTGGGACATATGGTCAGGATTTCCAGGAAGTTCAAGCACCGCTGCGCTCGAAACGGGGTTTGCCTGACCAGCTCCGCGGCGATCGCTCGCACCCAGGACCAGTAGATTGGTTCCGTGTCTGCCTGCAAATAGAAAAATCGAGAATTTTAAGACTCTAAGGCTTATTCTTAATAACTTCCTATGCAAATTCAGAAATAATCCTGCAGTTGAGCAAGGAATATTCTCTGGAAATCTAGATTCTTGATAAATCGAAACTCACGTTTGTCTAGATACTTTAGCATGCATGGAAACAATTGTTTTTGATTCTCTTCGAAGCTGATCGCAAGGAAAACAAGATAGAGGAAGGCTTCTTCGCGTCGGTACGAAATTTGTTGTCTCAAAAGCCAGGGAAAAGAAGATATTCCCAGGACGTAACAAACGCGATTCAATGGTAGCAGAACCATCGAGTAGATACTCCCCATTGTCTCGGATGAGGATGGCCTAGAGTGGTCCGTAACGAGCGGCGAGGCAATTTCGAAAATGAGCGTTCCTCGGCCTCGGGTTTCCGAAACGAGCGGCAATCCAATCCCGGGATCGATCAAGATGTTACGAGACGATCCTTCGCGCGGACGTCCTTTCGGTGACTAAGCGAACGGGGCGAAGGAACTCTCTGTTCGCCAGGATGGAAGAGGATGGCGGGCGGGACTCCTTGACAATGGCGGGTCATGGGAGAATGGCGCGCGGATCTCCCACGCGTCCGTTTATCGTCGAGACCGAGTCGGCGGATTTTAACCTTGCCTACTGACCTTATTACCTTACGACTCTCGCGCGGATACGAGTTACATCACCTTTGGACGCGTCCTTCGCCGATTTATCCGCCTCTTTATCTTAATCCTCCGACCTTCGCGAAATTCCCGTCACGTTATCGCTTCACCTTCCATCCGGGTTCTTCAAAATTCTCGAAAAGAATATTTCACTCGTTTGTCTCGCGGTTTCTTTAACCACAATAGCGAGGTTCGTGTTTTCGCTGCGAATTCTGGCGAAACGGCCTTCCGGATGATTAATACTCGTAACAATGGGACGGAATTTGAATGTGTATCGTTCGGGGATTGTGTACCATTCAGATTCATTAAGTTCAATTCAATAATTGTTCGGCCGTCTTCGAAAATTCTTCGAACATCGAATGGAACACTTCTCCGCCGGTGGAGACACGTTATGCAAAGCAGGGAGAAAGTTGGACAAAACGAAATTTTTGGCGGTGTCTAGGAATCGAGCCGGGGACTGGCTGGAACCGTGGCCGCGGGATTGTATAACGAGCTGGAAATCGAACTGCCGACGGACCGTAATTAGAAGTAGCAGTTCAGCAAAACGGGAGCTGGCGGAGGCCGCGCGCGAGAAAGTGTTTACGGGCAAGGAAATGGATCGTGCCGCAGATAAAAGTCATTTACATGCGATTACATTGCGTGCCGGCGCGATTATACTCGGCTATCCTGGCTCTTCGACTTCCTTCTTGGATCCTAGCCTACGATCGCTCGCTTCTTTTTAGATCTTCGGTCTATTTATCCAGCGGAATCACACAAATTTTCAAAAATCCTTATGTTCTCTCTTCTATGTTCAATTGTTTGTCGAATGTACAGAGAAATCTATCGCAGCCGGTAACTAGAGATTTATTAGCAAGTTAGAGAAGGCATCGAGACTTACCCAAAATGTGGCAAGAGCATGATCCTGCGAGTTGCTCAGGGTAAAACCGAGAGCCAACGCGTGAGGTTGACACAGGCTGGGTGCCGCCTGGCGCAGGTTCAACGCCCTGAGCGGTAGCCTCATCGGCGTACCCTCGACCCACAGCCAACCCATCCTGATGGATACGACCCGCCTCTCGCCTAGATCCTCCACGTACAGCTCGCCTGGAACAAGCAAAAAAATTGGGGGTCTAATGAGGATCAATCAGAGCCGGAGAGTACACGTTGATTCGTACTTATTGATCGGACCCGCGGTGTAATTGAGGATACGTTTAGCGTCGACCTTTACCCCTCCAATCATATCTAATTAAAAGTACCCCTCGGGACCGTGCATAATTTATCCGCGGTGATGTCATGCGACTCGGTTCACATCGCCGAGTCCGCCGACATTTCCTTTGACCGGCAGGATGCTGGGTCTAGAGATCGTTCCTGACGTTTCCTTGGCAACTATAGCGGACTACGTCAAGCCCGATGACGAATCTAATTGCAAGCTTAGAGATGCACAGTGATTCATGCGTTTGTTCGTGCACTTGCGAAGATTGAGGTTGTCGTTCTCTTTCTATTTGTCTAGTTTTATTGTTTCCCTTCATTTATGGGCTCTTCGGAGCGTGATGATACAGTTTTAGTAGCCTTGGCTAGGCTGTTCACGGAGTATATTGAAATTATGGCACGATAGAATCTGGAAATTTCAGTCTGCGCATCGCTATGCATAGAATAACTGTACGTAATTGAGTATAATCTTATTCAATGTTAAGTTAAGCGAGAAACACTTGACCTTTAAAGAGTATCTTTATAATACCTACATAAATATAGAGTGTCTATTACGGGACCGAGCGGATCCTGCATTAGCCGCGTTGTCGACCGTGAAATGATTCGATATTGAAGGGTTAATTGAAGTATTAATGTGTAGGGTCTCCGGATAACAAGTGGCCAGACATACGTGTTAAGTCTGAACACATTTGCGCGTCGCCGTGTATCTGAAAAACGAACGAGACGCACGTAGGCCTGGGACGCTGGTAGATTGACGTCATTCGAATGAACGTAGGAGTGAAGATAGTCCCTGGGTGTCACGTGCACACCCTGCTGTCTCCCTTCGGCCGGTTTTGATTCAGTCAAGCAATTACCGCTGGAAATGGCACCTAAACATGCCCACGTTTACTATTCGTGACCATTTTCACTCGAGCCAAAGATAGAAATAGACGTCAGAATTCCTCTTACGCACGAGGGTGGGTCGTCCTCGGCATTTTCCAATTTTATGGCCCCCATAAAAATCCCTACCGTCGATCTCCATTTTGATAAGGCTCTCTGACCGGTACTCGATCGTTATCGTCCAGTATTTATGGATATTCGTACAAATTTATAATCTTAAACCGCCATTCATACGCGGAGGCCTCGGTAGAACCGTACCCCCTACATTTAGGGGCTAGAGAACAATATTCCATCTGAAACCCGTCTCGAAATCGTAGATCGTTGAATCTACACACGGTCAATTCCCAGTTTCACTCTAAACACCTCGAACGCCTTCAATCTACTAAAGACGCCCGATAAATTCCAGTATTTTACTATACTCCAAGAAGAATGCTTTATAAATACCCTAAAAACCGCAGCTATCACAGGCCAGCGGACGACCACTATACATCGTGTCCTAACCGCGTTGAATCGTCATCACCCCGGAGTCAGTTGCGCAACGGATGCCCATTATCTCCGGCACGATATCGGGCACGAGCCGAAAGAGTCACGTAGAGAATCCTACGTACGGCACAAAGCGTGCAGGGGAAACTAGTCACCGCCGCGGGCGCGTCCATTAAACGCCGACGCGGAGCACGTTATCAAAGCCTTTCGAAGGACGTTCGCAGCTGGGACACGCGCTTATCGGAAGGACACGATCGACCGGATTCCTAGAATGCCTAGGTTCCCGATAGGGGATAGCCGGCCGGCGAATTGCCGGTCGGAAGGGACCGGCAGCGGTCCGGAGGTCTTTCACCTGCATTCCTGCGGCGCAGATGGACAACACACACCGTGTGTTCCGCCGGGACACTGCCCACGGGCAACACGCCCCCACCTGGTTTCCACGGAGACCAGCTGATGGGTGCGAATAGCCTGCGATTATTTCCATATTCGCATCGATCCACCGGGCTAAAGATAGAGTGCCCCGTGGGGCGGATAGCCGAGCTTCAATGCCAAGCTTTTCGAGTCTCGTGACGGTTACGTCCGTGTTCTGGGTTTGACGTGGCCGATTACACAGCGACGATCAATGGGGCTATAGATAGGCAACGCCGGTGACAGGCTTTTTAGGCGACGAAGGTTCGGCTTACGATACGGCGAGGTGTTAGCGTGATGCGCGTCGAGTTTGATGAAGCTTCTCGAGTGTGGTCGCGGTGCAGATGTTTGACACGTGTCGGTTTTCGTCGGACGTCGCGTTGAAAGGGTGAGAATCGAGATTGAAGTTCGGGGGAATGGGAGGTATGCTCGGTTGAATATTTTGGAAATCGCGAATGCTGGAATTGGCTACTTTTAATTAGGAGTTCGGTGGAAGTAGAAGTTAGAGAGTGTCGCTTTCGGAAACGGGATACTGAAAATCGGCAGGTTTCTGTTCAGTGAAACGATTCTTCTGTAGAAACGCTAACTCGCGCGCTGAGAAAGGTATCTAGGAAGTCGATCGTGACGTACGTGACTCCTCGTTCTCCCGCGAGCCTGTCGACATCGTGAAAGTCTCGATCCGATCGTAAAAATCCGGCCAATTGTCGCCGCGGTGAAAAACACTGCGCAACTTCTAGCGGTTTCACGGCGCGGGGGAAAATTGGGAAAAAGGAAGCGAGCCGAGAGCGTGAACCGATTTTCTAATCCGTTTCGAACCGCGTTTCGAACCAGTTGGCCGGTGAATCACGTTTCAGGGTCAGTCCGATTGTCGGCTGCAATTAGTAACGTCGGTCCGTGAGATTTTCCCAGAATGTAGTTACGAAACTCCGTGAATCATCATCGGGAACGGCGAAACGCGCGTGCGCGTCGATTTTTTCGGTTTTAATTGCACCCCGCTGGTTAAGACTGTTGCCCAATTAACTGACCAGCGTCTAGTAGCTTTCGGTTACGCACGCGTGGATGCTGTTTACTGGACGGTTGACGCGTTGTTATTGATACGACGTCGAAGAGACATCGATACGTGCTCGGTAAAAAGTAATGTACAAATGTTCAGTATCAAAGATCAGCTATGATAGTGTTATTACTCGATGAGGATGAAATTACAGTGTCCAGCGATATAGAAATTGCACTGTCACGGACAAATGAACTCGTTTGAGATTATTCGAGCCGCGAGTAACGACTAGACATCGGGCTTCATGCAGATTCTCGTTACGGTAAATTGCTTGTTCAAAATTCAAATAAGAAATTGATTTGCTCTCGTTATCTGGAGAAGGTCGGCCGCGCTAAAATCGAACAAAAACACACCGGCAATTTCGTGCCGTTGCAAAAAACGCGTGAGGATCCACGGTCTAGCGATAATGCGAATACATCAGCGTCAGTCCTCACGTTCTGTGCCGTTAAGTGAACGACTGGCCGGTCTCTTCGGGGTGGCTAAACAGCTGTCCGGAGTCGGGTACGAATCGGTGAATCGTATTTTGCGGCCGAGCGGACGCGTTTTTGGAAGTCTCTCGGCCGAGAGGACTGTATTTCCCTGTTTATATTGGCTGGCGAGAAAAATGTCTTTGAAGAATCCTGAAGGAAAAGCACGGTCCGCTCTCTCACGGTCCATTAAGCCCGGAGAAGTTATACGCGAGGCGTACGTGTGAACGCCCCATAAATAAGCCGATCCTCTCTAGACCCGCATCCTGCCGATCCGAAAGTTACTCGGCTAAACCAGTAGTAATACCCGACGCGGGAATGTGAACGTATTCCTGGAGCTACCGGTATCCACTTCTGCGCGTAAATCGGTAATAAAGTCATGGCAATCATAATCAATCGATTATCATCACTGTATAAGTATATTTATTACCTTTACCCCGTAGAATACCCAACAATAACGATAACACTCGAAATAATACACTCAATAAAATAATCCGTTTATACTTAGAACTTAAATTCCTTGATACATCATCAATGTACATTATCTATATATTCTAAAAATCACGAAACCTCTATATTAATCCACGGAAAATATTGTTTATCGTGTATTAAATATGGATTCCGGTCTCGAGTATCACGGCCTATATTATTATTTCCTGAAAAATATTAATTGTCCAGCATGGTCAAAGCTATTTAGCACAACCGACAATTTTAAACTTGACTATGGCGTCCGGCCCAAGGACAGGGACGAGGAGGTGAACGTAACGAGGCGTTCTTCCTGCAAGACCGCCCTGGCCAAGGACAATCCTTTTTTCCATTCACGAATTTTTATTACGGAAGTCGCATGAATATTTATGAACGCCGGCCGAACATCGGCGCATCGCGGCTCTGCGTGGAGGCGGCTTAACGCAGGCGTCGCTCCGCGCCGGCCGCCATGTTTCATCTGGCCGTGTTGCGGCGGGCCCCCGCCGCCGCGGTAGCACGTTTCACTCAGGAAACCGTTTATTTCCTCAGATGCTAGGATAACGCACGGCTGTCACGTATACCGGGTGACCGTCCCGTTCTAGACTGGCTGAAATCGATACCGTTAACCCGTTCACGGTGACACGCAACCCGCCGTACCGTAGACAGACCTTAAATCCACGTTTCCATGGCCGCGGAGGAGGATACTTAACATTGTCCGATGTGCTACTTTACGAATGTCCTTCCATTAAACTTTGCATAAGAAATATGCGGGGTTTATACTAGAACAACCTGTTCGTTTGAAGCTAAGGCTCCCTGAAATTAATGTACACCCGTTTTGTGGGAACGTCGGAAGTAAGAATTGCTCAGGGTGTAAATAATCAGGGTGTCTCCTCAATAAATCTAAACAAAACATTAGAAAACTCAAACTGAAACGAGTCATTGAGTTCCTAAATATAACGTCGTAGTTTATAATTTCTAATAACAATGTCTACAGGATTAATTTCATTTTCATTATGTAAAATATAGGATTATGGCCGTTAAATACGTGACGCACTAACGTGTTAATCTCCATTGTATTCTGTTTTAATTGATTCGATTTGAATGTTGTAAAACTTGGGGGATCATTGCTTGAAGTATTGAAT